AGATTTTATTATGATGGTCCAAGTACTCTATAGTGATATTGAAAGTGTATTGAAGGTTAATGGCGGTTTATGTGCTCCATTTAAGGTTGAAAGAGGTGTAAGGCAAGGGTGCTCTCTTTCTGGAATGTTGTATGCCCTAGCCATTGAGCCTTTATTACAAAAAATAAGGGAAAAAATTGATGGGTTACATTTGCCTAATTGTACAAAAAAGATATGTTTATCTGCTTATGCAGACGATGTAATGGTGTTTGTAAGTGGACAAAAAGATGTGCAAAGTTTATTTGATGTAATTAATGATTTTACTTTCATATCTTCTGCAAAAGTGAATTGGAAGAAATGTGAAACACTCTTGGTTGGAAAATGGAAAGACGGTAATCCAAAAATTCCTGAAGGTTTGGTCTGGGGGAAAGGTGGGTTAAAATATTTGGGAGTTTTTTTAGGTGATGATGCAAATCAACAAAAGAATTGGGAAGGAGTTATTGAAAAAATTAAAGGACGATTAGAAAAATGGAAGTGGCTGCTTCCTAAAATGTCATATAGAGGACGCATTCTTGTCATCAACAACCTGGTCGCGTCTTCACTGTGGCATAAGCTTGCGTGCATTGATCCTCCTCCTCAACTACTTACGAAAATACAAGCGATTCTTGTTGACTTTTTTTGGGACAAATTGCACTGGATTAGACAGAGTGTTCTTTATTTGCCGAAAGAAGAAGGAGGACAAGGCTTGGTCCATTTACAGAGCAGAACTGCTGCTTTTCGCTTACAGTTCCTGCAGAGACTTTTAGACGGTGCATCGGACGTCAGTTGGAGGGCAATGGCCCATGTTGTTTTTGCAAAACTTTGGAGGATTCGGACTGGACAAACATCTGTTCTTACTAAACCCTTCAAAAATGGACTTGTCTGTTTTACCACCCTTTTATAAGAGTCTGTTTAAAGTTTGGAGTTTGTTTCACATCCAGAAATCTGAAAATCCTTATTCACTTTACTGGCTTCTTGAAGAGCCTTTAATTCTTGGGTCTCGTTTGGATGTAAATGAAAGTAACAGTTTTTTTAATTGTGGTCTTAAGTTGCAAGAATCAAAAGTGTTTATTTTTAGACAATTGTTGGACATTGCTGGGGAAAACTTGGATAATTCTGTAAAAGTAGCTGAATTTTTAGGCACTAGATCCATTCGATTGGTTGCTCTCTTTTTAGCCAAGTTAAAGTCTACCCTCACAACAGAGGAGAATATAATGGTAAAAGAATATTTTGCTAAAGTAACTGTTCCTAATGAAAATGATTTTTTCCCTTGTTTGATGCTTTCACCAAAACTGGATGGTTTTAGGGGTTTTCCATTTAAAACTTGGGACTCCCAGTGGTTGGATGTAATATCTACTAAAGGGAAAATATTGTATGGAGCTTGTGTGATGGGTTTTAATAAGAATAATTTGGCAAATAAACCTGATACACCGTGGAGGAATTTTTTTGCCTTAAAGGAAAATGTAAAACCAGAATGGAGAGTTCTATATAAACCGCCATTAGCAAAAAAGGTTGGGGATTTGCAATGGAGAATTCTTCATGGTATTTTAGCTGTTAATTCATTTGTTTCTGTGTTAAATGTGGAAGTTAACGATGTCTGTCCTTTTTGTTTGCAAAGAGAAACAATTTTCCATGCATTTGTACAATGTACAAGATTGAAATCGTTGTTTGATTTTTTAGAAAAATGTTTTTGTGGTTTTGATGAAGCATTTAATGAAATTGTATTTATTTTGGGTTTTAAGTATAGTCAAAAAAAGAAATATATTTGTCAGTTATTGAATTTTATGATTGGTCAAGCAAAAATGGCAGTATATATTAGTAGAAGGGATAAAGTTGAACAGAAACCTGATCAAAACATCATTGAGACTTTTTTAACATTGGTGAAATCAAGAGTAATGATTGATTATGTGTATTATAAAACTATGGATAATTTGGTTACTTTTGAGAAGATTTGGTGTTGTAAGGGAGTGTGTTGTGTCATTTTTGAAGATAAATTAATTTTCTTTCCTTAATTTGTTTTTTTGTGGTTTAGTTTGTTAATTTGTTGTCATTAAGGTGATTGTAAAATAAAGTTCTTTTTCAAATTCAATTCTCTCTCTCTCTCTCTCTCTCTCTCTCTCTCTCTCTCTCTCTCTCTCTCTT